TCTTAAATAAAAAGCAATTATACCACCACATATCGTATTATAAGCTTCTAACTATATCATTCTCGTATTTATATAAAATTTTGGGACTAAAGTTGGTATTAAAAATTAAATGACCACAAAATGAATTGGTATTAAAAAAAATAAAAATAAAATAACATTAAAACTTCTGAGAAAAGGAAAATAGTTTGATATAAGACGGATAGCTCAACAGAGACGGCAATATACTTCTTCGGAGAAGTCCTGCAAATAGAGAAAGAGCTCAAAAACTCTCTGCTTTCCGGGAAGCACCATCTTTCTCAGATCCGAAGGTAAACTTGATCGTTTTCTATATAGATAATCGTAATCCCTCTGAAAATTTTCTTTTGTTAAGAGAATATTAATGTCAATCATGCAGACACCCACCTTTTTCACTCACCAGGAAGAAGATGCAGATATTCGTGAAAACTCTAACAGGGAAGACCATCACCCTCGAGGTGGAAAGCAGCGACACCATAGACAATGTCAAAGCTAAGATTCAGGTCTGATTTTCACTCTTTTTCTAAGTAAATTTTTTTTTATGAAATTTCCCATCTGATTAGATTAGGGAAAAAACCAAACTTGATCTTTGGCCAGAACTTAAAAAAAAAAAAAAAAAAAAAAAAGCTGGGTATTACAAATTGTTAAGGATTTTACGGTTTTCTTTTTCTAATTTTTATTGGTAACTGTTATTTGTTCTTACTTGTGGATTTTCAATTGTTTTGTTGTTTTACCCATAGAAGAATATGCTCAAATCATCCAAGTGTTGTTTTTGATTTTGGGTCTATATTTTGATTGGCTTGTTGTCTTTTAATGGCGATTTACCTGCCAAGATTATAGTCAGGAAGAGGTGATAGTTCATGGTAGGAAGCTTGATCTGGGGTCTTGGTGTGGTGGTTTAGATTTTGAGTTGATACTGTTACAGACCGGTGATAAATTTTTATATTGAAACAACCTTGATCATTTTGGATTGACATGTTTTCTTCGATTTAGGAACTGTTGAATTGTACAATATACATAGTACACTAGTACTATATTGTGAAATTGCATTACCAATGAGGAATTGTGAGGTAACAAACTTGTGTAGTTTCTTGGACATTGTAGACGTGTGCTTCTAAGGAACGATTATGTAGTTTGTACTTTGTATGATTAATGGGTCATTTTGTCAACGGGTTCTAAGTTGGCTTACTCAATTTATGGGGTCAAAGTTCAAACTTTCCCCATAGCTGGCTGTCAGGTATCCTTTAGAAACTAAAGATAATTGGACTAAAAATTGATATGGTTCTATAATACAAAATGTGTAGCATGCATATATATATATATATAGTTAATTCTAGTTGCAATGCATGGTGGAACCTTAGCAGTTGAGTGAATGCAATATTCCTCTTCAATATGACATGGTACTGCAATTGTGCTGCTAATGATGGATTTATCTTTTCCAGGACAAAGAAGGCATACCTCCTGATCAGCAGCGGTTGATTTTTGCTGGAAAACAACTAGAAGATGGCCGAACTCTTGCAGATTATAACATCCAAAAGGAGTCGACCCTTCACCTGGTTCTAAGGCTCAGGGGAGGCACCATGATCAAGGTGAAGACTCTAACTGGAAAAGAAATTGAAATTGATATTGAGCCGACTGATACCATTGACCGTATTAAGGAACGAGTTGAGGAGAAAGAAGGAATCCCCCCAGTGCAACAAAGGTATCCATTATTATTTTCCTCTTATTTTAGTTAACCAGCCAACACGCTTGCATTGCTTGTTTGATATTAAATCCTTCATTTGTCATATTCCACCGTGTCATGTAATTCTTTGACAAGAACTTTGTTAGTAATAGACTGCACAAATAAGTTGGAGACGTCAATGTTCCAAAGATTACATTTTTTTATTCAGTTTAGATAACTTGCAAATGTATATGGAATTTGTCAAAGATCCCAACTAAAGAACAGTTACTGATAGGTAATGAAAAAGGAAGTTACGTGGAACCGACTGGAACGTAGGCTGGTTGGTACCATCCAGTTTGTTACAGCCTTGATTCTATGGTTTAAGAAAGCCTCAGTACCATCAAATTTACCATAGCCTCTCAATGATGATGTTAGTCATGGTTGATTATTTGTAAATGTTCTCAGAGATATGAAATTACATGATTTTCGTTGTTTAAATATTCACTTAAACCATAAGAATTATTTCTGAGCTAATTTATATCTGGTATGCTCTGCGTTGGTGAATCTCGTTCTGCAATGATCATCCTAAAAGATAAATTTCAAATTTCTCATTTTTGTGCGGTATTTCTAAAGAAGTTAAACTTTCAATTCACTGGGTATTGGAAATCACCTTAATCAAACTTACTGAGTAGTGTTCTTATATTCCTTTGTATTGCTACTTCTTGCAGGCTTATTTACGCAGGAAAGCAGCTGGCAGATGACAAGACTGCCCGTGATTACAACATTGAGGGTGGTTCTGTGCTTCATCTTGTGCTGGCACTGAGGGGTGGCGGTTTCTAGATTGTGTTTACTAGATTTAGAGAAAAGAACAGCCATGTAGACATTTTGTATTGCATAAACCAAATGAATTTGCATTTTAAGGAAAGAAGAGCTAATTTCCTTAAGATATGGATATTCTGTTTAACTAGCTCATGCATCTGCTTTCAACCATTTTATTTTGTGCCATCAACCAAGCATTTTGTGAATCATGAACGTCTCAGTCTTGCAAATAAAATGATTTGAACTTGAAATTAGTTTCTCTAATCTTTAGTGCTGTGCCTTCCTTTTATTTGTTCATACCAGAAAAAAAAATAATAATAAAATTCTTTCCCTTGTATTTTCGTTGCTCTGCTTGTGGCACTTTCTACCTGAAGGAATACTGAACTCTGAGCTAGCTCTGTGTCTCTGCAGTTCGGACTCGGATTCCATTAAATGAGTGTAGAGAAAATAATTAAACTATTCCCACAAGTTCTTTTTAGTTGTCATATTCCCTTTACATTATGTAAATTTTTTCCTTTGTCATAATAACTTTACGTAAATAAACTCAATGATTTTATAGAATAAATAAATATAAATTAAAAAATTAATTTAAGTGAAAATATTTAATAAGAATTGTTTTCACCATAAATTGTGAAAATTTAAGATCATGTTATATATCAAATATTTTTTAAATGGATGGAGGTGATTTGGTCATGTTAGATATGCAATTTTATGTCTCATAACAAATCAAATACCATATAAGAAAGAAGGAGTTGAAAAGATAAGATTTTATCTTTTTGTTGCCTATTTGAGTCACATTGGGTTTGTTTTAGCTAAAATTTAAGTGTTGGTATTAGTTATGAATGTGGGTTACCTAATAATGGGATAGGTGGCCAAATCTGGAAGAGATTCTGATTCTGTCAACTGTTAAGATATCCCACTTCTTCAAAAAATTGCCTATAATTCTAGTAACTACAGAAAGTGGGGGTTGTAAGCGGGGAAGAGAAAACAAAAAGGAAAATTTTTTATTATTTGGCATACAGCTAGCCCTATACATAACCTGACAATTTTAAGACTTTTAATTTCTCTGTGATTGTTCATTTTAACTTACAGATTCCGGATTTCAGCACAATTCTTAGTAGATTTATGTTGTTTTTCATCATTCCAGTAGCCAAATTAGTTTGCATATTTGCTTCAACAATTTCGTTTCATGTAATGAACATCAAGCTTTGAATTTCTGCAAGATACTATTCTTTTTCTGCCTGGTTTTAACCTAATATTTATGATAAATAGCGTTTCATCAAATAATTACTTATATAGTGTTTATGCTTTTTCTCAATTTTGAGCATGTCAATTTAGTCCCTATTCGAATTTGCTTTAGTGTAATTTTGGATTAGATCCCTAATTTTGTAGTAGTTTAATTTACAAATCTATTTGTAGATAGCAGTTTAATATGATAATAAACATGTTTAATTTAATTTGGGTACATCTTGTTCTTGCTGTTGGCTCAATGTACTCTAAGAGGGGGGGTGAATTGGAGTTCCAAAAATTCTCCCCTTTTTGCAATCACAACACCCAAATTAAAGAGAGTAGAGAAGAAGAGCTTGCTCAATGATTTTTAAAGGTTCGGTCCAACCACTTGGAGCCTAGTCCTCTACCTTGGCTTCACTCACCAAGGATTTCCTCCACACTCTCCACTAACAACAACAAAGGTGGCTTAAAGGAGCCACTCAATCCTTTTACAAGAATAAGGGTGTTTCTCTCAAATCTCACCCCTTTACAAGATAAACCCCAAAGATCCTCTCTACAGATCACTCTTGAAGGAATCAACACACCCCCAAGATCACTCTCTAATAGCACAAGAAGAGGATTACAAATAAAGATCTCTCAAAGATTAAAATCTCAAGTTAAAGCACAAGTTGGTATGTAAAGATATTCAACACAATGCTCTCTAAACTTGTTCATATCTGTTACCAACCATATTTATAGCCCCTTGCTCGAAAATAGCCGTTTCTAACCGTTGGAGGTCATTAAATGCTCTACAAGACACAAAGCTCGAGCTGCAGGATTGTCAGGAGAGCCGGCTATCGGGTTTGCAGTCCATTCTGTTTTCCTCGAGAGCCGGCTGCAAAACTTTAAACCGACTTTGGAACTTCGACTTTAAATACATTAAATATTCTTCAATTAAGTCGACTGTTGTATATTAAATGCACCCTCATAGCCGGCTACAAAGTTAGAGCCGGCTTTGGATCTTTTCTCCGTGCGCACCAAACAACTTGCTTTTAACTTTTTACCCGTAGAGCCGACTGCAACTTTCAGAGCCGGCTCTTTGCACCTCTACAATCGGCTGCAAGTTTCAACAGCCGGCTGCAAATTTCAACAGCCGGCTCTTTGCACATTTTCAAGCCTTTTGGTCTATTTTTAGTGCAATCCAAGTTTACTTGCAATCTATTAGCAACTTAACTACACACTTAAATAAACCAATTAGTCACTCAAATGTGTTTTGTAATCATCAAAATCATAAGTACAACACTTGCAAGTTTACTTTAATTTGCATGCCATTTAGTTCGTTTAGAACCTGTTAACTTTGATTCACGGTAATGTTTAAGTCTTTAGAGTTGTTCAAGGCAGATTTAGTAACATATTCTGTAAAAATGCATCCTTCTCTCTTGCAAAATCGTCTGTAGGTGTAGATTTTAATTTTAAACTAATGTTCTTTTCGCTATCCACAAAGAGGTCGACTATGAGGAAAGAGAAGGTCGTTGAGAAATCTTTTTTTTAATTTTCAGCAAAGTAAGTGACATACCTGCATCCAAATTTCGTATGTGTGAAGCCACTTAAGGATTTTTGAAGAAACGAGAATTATAAGAAAAGTCCATAAATGGTGAATTAGTTAAGAGTATGAGATTTTTAAGTTGCAAAATTCAAATTCAAACCAAGTTTGATATGAAAGGATTTGAAAAAAAAAATTAAAATTATCTCTTTTTATATAGTGATTATCAAATGTAAAATAATAATAATAATAATAATAAAAGTTAAAAAACTACATATATGTCTATAAAGAACTTTACTTATTATTTATTTATTATATGAAATTATTTAGTCAAAATTTACATTGAAGCCAAATTAAAGTAACTAACAGGTAGGAGAGAGGTTTTTTTTTTAAAATTATCTCTTTTTATATAGTGATTATCAAATGTAAAATAATAATAATAATAATAAAAGTTAAAAAACTACATATATGTCTATAAAGAACTTTACTTATTCTTTATTTATTATATGAAATTATTTAGTCAAAATTTACATTGAAGCCAAATTAAAGTAACTAACAGGTAGGAGAGAGGTTTTT